TATTATATTTATACGTATGTGATCTAGACAACCACAACAGAAGTTCTCCATATCTCTCTCTCTCTCTCTCTCTCTCTCTCTCTCTCTCTCTCTCTCTCTCTCTCTCTCTCTCTCTCTCTCTCTCCTCTCTCTTTCCTCGTTCTCTCTCTCTCTCTCTCTTCTCTCTCTCTCTCTCTCTCTCTCTCTCTCTCTCTCTCTCCCCTCGCCTCTCTCTCTCTCTCTCTCTCTCTCTCTCTTCTCTCTCTCTCTCTCTCCCTTCTCTTCCCTCTCTCTCTCTCTTTCCTCTCTCCTCTCTCTCCCCTCTCTCTCTCTGCTCTCTTCTCTCTCTCTCTCTCTCTCTCTCTCTCCTCTCTCTCTCTCTCTCTCTCTCTCTCTCTTTCTTTCTCTCCCTCTCTGCCTTTCTCCTCTCTCTCTCTCTCTCTCTCTCGTTCTCTTTTTCTCTCTCTCTCTCTCTCGCTCTCTCTCTCTCTTCTCTCTCTCTCTCGGTCTCTCTCTCTCTCAATCGCTCGCTCTCTCTCTTCTCTCTCTCTCTCGCTCTCCTCCTCCTCTCTATCTCTCTTCTCTCTCTTCTCTCTCTCTCTCTTCTCTCTCTCTTGCCTCCCGCGCTTCTCTCTTTTGTCTCTCTCTCTCCCTGGCGTAAGTGCGCGCGTGCGCCGTCCCAGCGGCATTGGGTGTGTTATTGTATATATGCATTGATATCAAGAGTAGATATAACACAAATGATATTTAATGATTGGAACCATTCCATCTAGACAACCACAACAGAAGTTCTCCATATCTCTCTCTTTCTCTCTCCTCTCTCTCTCATCTCTCTCTATCTCTCTCTCTCTCTCTCTCTCTCTCTCTTCTCTTCTCTTCTCCTCCTCTCTCTCTCTCTCTCTCTCTCCTCTCTCTCTTTCTCTCTCTCTCTCTTCCTCTCTCCCGCTCCCCTCCTCTCTTTCCCCTCCTTCTCTCTTCTCCTCTCTCTCTTCTCTCTCTCTTTCTTCTCTCTCTTCTCTCTCTCTCTTCACTCTCTCTTCTTCTCTCTACTCTCTCTTCTTCTCTCCTCTTCTCTCTTCTTGTCCCTTTCTCTTCTCTTTCTCTCTCTCTCTCTCCCTCTCTCTTTCTCTCTCTCTCTTCTCGTCTCTTTCTTCTCTCTTTCTCCTTTTCTGCCCTCCTCTCTTCTTCTCTCTCTCTCTCTCTCTCGTCTCTCTTCTCTCATTCGGCTCGTCCTCTGCTCTCTCTCTCTTCTCTCCTCTCTCTTCTCATCTCTCTTCTCCTCTCTCTCGCCGCCTCTCTCTCTTCCTCTCTCTGTTCCTTCTTTCCTCTCGCTCGTCTCTCTGGTTCTCTTCTTCTTCTCTCTCTCTTGTCTCTCTCTCTCTCAATCGCTCGCTCTCTCTCTTCTCTCTCTCTCTCGCTCTCGCTCTCGCTCTCTTTCTCTCTCTCTCTCTCTCTCTCTCTCTCTCTCTTCTCTCTCTCTTGCGCTCCCGCGCTTTCTCTCTTTTTGCTCTCTCTCTCTCCCTGTGCGTGTGCGCGCGTGCGTGCATGCGTGTGTGTGTTATTGTATATATGCATGATATCAAGAGTAGATAATAACACAAATGATATTTAATGATTGGAACCATTCCAACGGCAGTACCTCCGACAGACCTGTCCAATAACTTCGTGGAGGATAGAGAGAGCGGACAGTTTTGGGCGCCGTCGGTAACGTACACCTTTAAATGCGGAGCGCGGAACAGCAAGCCGAAGGCGACCGTTACCTGGATAAAAGGTAATGCCTACTGATTTAACGCTTTTATTACTATAAGTACTAACTATCTTACCATGTAGTAACTACGCTTTTATTTGATACTACGTGATATGGAATTTTGATACTACGTGATATGGAATTTTGATTTACACTGATGATTGTTACACTGATGATTGTTAGCACACTATAAAATCACATAGCTTCAAGTATATATTTTTTCTTATAAAAAAGTCGTTTCATTGCGGTTACGCACAGCAATAATAACTCTGTAGAATGGCCTTGAACAGTTGACATATTGAGAGCGTGTAACACGCTGGTCTCTGCCTCGTCCTGCTGTTGCGTCTCGCTGATTGCTGCTTAATTCGTGTTTCAGGGATCACGACGATATCGGAGACGAGCGGCCAGACGTCGGCAGGCGACCGCAGCGGCACCTATACGACGGAGAGCTATCTGGCGACGTCGTTCGAAATGTCCGATGACAAAGCGATATTCTCTTGCACAATAGCGATAAATGGCGTTAGCAGCACAACGTTTGATGTCGACCTGGGTGGGCCATGAGAACAATATGCAGATTATAGTCTTTATAATATGTGAATTGGCTCATAAATAGGCTCAAGTCAATATAAAATATTAAAGAATATAATAAAAATAAATAAATATATAAATAATATATATATATAATAAAAATATAAAATATAAATTAAATATAATAAATAGGCTAAGGTCTGTAGCCTACGCGACTGCGGGATTGCGTAGCTATTTGAAGATCATGGCGATACGTACTGCCAGTTTATACGCGCATTTCTCAGCATAGTTTCACGTAATGACTGACGTCACCCCGTAAACGTCACTAGCCCGATGCGGCGCACTGATAATTATGCATTTCTCGCATTAATTAGTTACGTTTCTTAATTAGTTAATTATTTCCAGACGTGCGGAACAGCTCCCTGACCAGCACCGTGCAAAGTGAAAAGCACGCAGGAGAGAGCTTCGAGTACGTCGTCAGCTTAGATGAGGAGCAGCCTGATCAACTAACGTGGGTTTGGGATAGCGAGGTCAAACTGACGAACACGCGTGACTCCATAGCCAGCAGGGTGAGCGAGCAACGCGGCCATGTTTTTTTAATATTAATTTAATATTATTATATATATATATATTATATTATTAAATTTATATAATTTTTATATTCTTATTTGCGCGCAAACCATTTAGAACACGTTATAGCTGCGTTCACACGAGGATTTCAGTACCGTACTTAGCGTTCACACGGTAAAAATATTCGAGGCTTATACGCGGCCTCCCAAGTGCCGTACTGAAATACGAGGCTTATTCGGCGCGGAAAGTGATTCCGCGCTGAAACACCCGCTTAAGTACGGCACCACGCTGGCCGCGTATTGTCTGTCGTGTGAACGCAATTCGAGGCCTCGTACGCCGTGAAACTGTAGTGCGCTACATTGATACTAGGCGGCGGAGTGTCGTTTTTCACTTCCGGCTCATGCCATTGAAAATATTTCTCCGAATTTCCTGCGAATTTTTGTTCAATCATCTCTATTTCTGATCATGCCTCCAAAAAAATTTCTCATCTGAAGAAGCAAAGCGACAGTGACAGTTGTGGTCGCAGAACGAGACCGCAGCATTGATCTCGATATTTTCAATATTTCGATTATTCATCTGGATCATCATTTTGTGTAATTTTACTGAAAAACTGCCACAAACAACTGACTTTCATGAGTACGACACAGGGGAGGGATTCCACCCGGCAATGGCGGCCAGAATCGTCGCTCAATGACGTCACGTCCGTACGGACTCAAACTCTCAAACTCCTGTTTTAAGGTGCATTGTGACCCTAACCCTAACCCTAACCCTAACTCTAAAAAATAACCCTAACCCTATTAGAAAAAAAATTTCAACTTGTCAACCGGCCGCCATTGCTCGGTGGAATCCCTCCCTGTGCAACTTTCGACTTTCATGGCGCCGCCATCATAAAAACACTTCCCTCTAGCGGAGAAATTATTTACTATTTGACTTAGCCAGCTAAGCCTCGATTCTCGTGTGAAAGCTGCGGGTTGTGTTAGCACGGTATTTCAGCCGAATTCAGCACCAGATAAGTACGGAACCAGCGAGGCCGTGAATCTCGTGTGAACGCCGCTTATGACTATGTATATATATATATATATATATATATACGGTGTGACAACGAGGAGAAAAATAATCACAAATTCTGTGATTATTGAATGTAATGATCTGTAATGTACGATGGGTTGCCTAATGCTAGAATAAAATCGTCCTTTCAGGATGCTGAGAGATTCAGGTCGGAATTCACCTCCGCGTATTCGCTTAATTTTACCATCTCATCTCTGACAGCGGATGATCTTAACAAAGAATATACCCTTATCGCTCATACAGACACATCGTTTAAAGTGCAGACGATACGGTTGCTGTTGATAGGTACGTGCACTGAGAGACTTGCTGTAGATATAAACGTTCATAGTAACGTGAGTAGGTAATGTAAACGGAAGAAAGTACCGCGATTGGGAACAAACCGCGAGTGCCGGTCTGTTGCTTCTAACGCTATTTAAAATTTATTTTAATTCACGTTGATTTTGAGGGTTTTTTTCACAGATTTTCTACTAATTAATGTAGACCGCCCGATATGTTAATTGCTAAAGGTTACACCTGCTACATACACTACTTCATAACACTGGCATTTGTACATGTGCATCAAGTGCAAACGCCTGTCCGTTTCTATATAGGCGAAGAAGTCGAAGACTGCAAATTAGCACTTGCACTAGGACTTACCTTTGGGTTGCTAGCGCTGGTGCTGCTGGCGCTGTGCGCAGTCGCTCTCCTCTATTTGTACAAGCCGTGGTGCTTCAAAGCCGAGCCGGTGACTATTGACGAACTAGACCCCAAAGACTTATCTTCCCCGGTGAGATAATCATGCCTCACCTCCTACGATACTGTCAAGCGGAATGTATTTGTACGTGTTCTTGACCCGTGCACGACTAATTGTCGACTTCGAGGGACTTTGTTGATAAACAATGTTTTAAGAACACCTTTATCGTAACAGTGATTGGCTACATAGCTGCCGGTCGATTACTCCAGGCGGATCGGTAAATTCTGAAATTTTGATTCGGAAGTGCTATGCAGGGGTTAATATCAAGTTTTGATTTATGTGGGTTGGATAGGGGGTTGGCCTGTTTCTGTATTTTACAACTGCAATAGAAGTGTAGCCACGAGCATCATTCCTAAGGGGAGAATAATGTAGGAAATGCTTGTGATTGTTTTTGCTGCACGCTTACAAGTTAAAATTCTTCTAATCCCTTAAATTTCTACAAAGTTTTAACCATTACATGCTGTCGTTGTGATGGGCTCAGAGTCCTAACCACGTTCGGGGTACACTTGTTTGTTACTTGGTTGTTGTTTGTTCCCCACATCGGCTTGCTACGCGGTGCTAGCTCCTGTTCACCTCGTTCCCTTACTCACACGCACACACGCACGCACGCACGCACGCATGCATACATACAGACAGCGGAAATGGCATTACTGAGTAGTCTCAGCCTATGTTACACCTTCGCAGTATATCCTTCAGCAACCCGCTGGCGGCCACGACAACCAAGACTACACAGGATCCACGCTTGACCTGAAACCTCCGGAGCGGGAGCGACCTCCGGCCACGATCCCGACAGAGGAAGCAAGCAAGCAGTGGGAAACGTCCGCTACATTGTTCAAGCACGTGAGCATTGAGGTAACACGATCAAAAATGGCCGAAATCTGCTCCTATGTGTTAAAAAGAAATTTGAAAAGGCGGCGTCGTCAATTCAAAATAGCATGGCGTCGATGCCGTGGGTGGCGCCACTGTGTGCGCACGTAAACTCGATCCTCCAATTAAAGACATGATGATAAAAGGTCATCGAAGACGCGATATATCGAGACCATATAAAGTTCTTACTATTTCGCTTACATGATCAAACGTATAGGTCAAGTTAGGAGAAGGATCGTTTGGAGCCGTGTTTAAGGGTCAGATCAAGGGCGGGGGAAAATCTAGCAACCGCGTCGTTGCCATTAAACAACCGCTGGGTATGTCTATAGCTATCACTATAAATAAATAAATAAATAAATAAATGGTATTATAAATAAATATAATAAAATATTATAAATATTATATTATATATATTATATTATATAAATATTATATATAATAAATATTATAAATAAATGGGGTGTTATATTTGGTATACCAAAGGGGTCCGTGGACCACAAGTTAAGAACCCCCTGTTTTAGAATAATAAATCAATTAAAATCATTTAAATTACTAATATGACATACTGCTAATGTTGTCCTCCTGGTGATGACTGCTACTTAGTCATTCCCCTCGTGTCTTTCTCACTTTCTCGCGCAGCGAAACCAGGCTGCGTTCAAAAAGTGCAGGAGGAGATGGACGCCATATTTAATCTAACACCACACCAGAACGTCATTCGGCTGATAGGCTACTGCAAGAACCCGGCCACTCTCTTATCGTACGACCTGATCATGGACTACTGTAACATGGGTAACTCTCTCTCTCTCTCTCTCTCTCTCTCTCTCTCTCTCTCTCTCTCTCTCTCTCTCTCTCTCTCTCTCTCTCTCTCTCTCTATCTCTATCTCTCATCGTCATTCCTGTACATTCTCCTGTATGTATTCACACTTCTCTCTCTCTCTCTATCTCTATCTCTCTCTCTTGCTCTCTCTCTCTCTCTCTCCCTCCCACCTCTCTCTCTCGCTCTCTCTCTCTCTCTCTCTCTCTCTCTCTCTCTCTCTCTCTCTCTCTCTCTCTCTATCTCTATCTCTCTCTCTCTCTCTCTCTCTCTCTCTTGCTCTCTCGTTTACTCTTACCGCACGTACGGGCACGCATACACGAACACACATGCTCGCATGTTCTAGCACACTCACACACGTACATACGCACCCAGATGCGGACCACCGGAGAGGGGTGGCAAGAACCATAAACAAGTGAACACGGCGATGCCATCAAATATGAATCTGCATCAATGTTGACGACGTCTTGCACCCTGTCGCCGTGGATGATGGCGCCATCTATGAAGAAACGCAACTCGACACGTGCTAGTGCTAAATGCAAATGCGCGCGCGAATGTCTCGGCCTCCCGGCAAATCTCGAACATATACGCTACTGTTTTTCGTTTGTGTGTTGGATGTACGGCATCGGGCCGAGGCGACACGAGTCGCGGCCATGACAGGCAGAGACCATCGTTACCATAGAACTAGAATAGAGGCTCTATTCTGGCCTCTATTCTAGGCCTCTATTCTAGGCCTCTATTCTATGCCTCTATTCTAAGCCTCTCTTCTAGGCTTCTATTCTAGGCCTCTATTCTAGGCCTCTATTCTAGCCTCTATTCTAGTTCTATGGTCGTTACGGGGGCGTGGATGTTTGTCTGTTGACAGGAGATCTGAAGTCGTTATTGGTGGAGACAAGAGTTCCAAAGGACCAGCAGCGCGCCACCGGAGAAACGACCGGCCGACGTGTTTACGCTAATCTGTACGGCGGGAGTAGCAGCCTCAGCTTCGCACAGCTGCTCAGGTTTTGCCTTCAAGCTGCTGCCGGCATGCGCCACCTAGCGGCGCAACAGGTGCGCAAAGTCCGCGACACGTATAGCACAGTCCGTTATAAAACTGAGATAGGCTCATCCGGTACAGTTACTTATATCTATATAATTATTTGAGTGGTGTCGTTCTGTTTGTTCCTGCATAACTTATAGGCGCGTGCACGAATCCGGCTGAAATTTTTCGTGCTTTATTCCTACGCATCAGGTTCGATTCTAACACTTTGCTTTTTGTTATTTATTGGGTTTAATGTTTTAAAAAACCATATTTAGAAAATCTTTGGAAAATCTCCCTGGAAAACATGCACGATTCAGTTCACTTCCGCTAGGTGCGCTGGCGTAAACTTACAAACGCCATAGATATATACAACACGTGTTGTATATATCTATGCAAACACCCAACGACAGACTGATTCACAGACGATAATGAATACAGTAGTCTATGACGTAAATGTACAGTGGTTACGCTGGGCACACGCAATGGCTGCAGTATCAAGTCCTCCCCTACCACATTGCTCGTGCTAAGCCCATACCATGTCTATATATATATTTACCCATACATATATATATACCCATACTATCTATATATTTATGTATGTATATATATATATATAATATATACATGGTATGGGCTTAGCACGAGCAATGTGGTGGGGGAGGACTTGATACTGCAGCCATTGCGTGTGCCCAGCGTAACCACTGTACATTTACGTCATAGACTACTGTATTCATTATATAACTTAATTTACAATATAATAGAATATAATATAATATAATATAATATAAGTAATATAATATAATATAATCATAATTAATATAATATAATATTCATATAATTATAATATAATATAATATAATATAAATATAATTATAATCTAATATAATAATATAACTATAATATAATATAATATTAATATTAATATAATATATATAACATAATATAATATAATATGATAATAAAATATAATATAATATAACATAATATATTATAATTAATAAACCGCTATACGCTTCTGTATAACCTAGTGACATGTGAAGGCAGAAATCTAGACCCTGTTAACTATACCTTGATACTTATAACTTGATAACTTGATAACTTGATACATATACTTGATACCCATAACCATTACCTTGATGTTTCCCGCATATAATAAGTACTCTAGCAGGCAAATATCACGCCTTGTAAGAATCAAGCTTCTGCTCCCCACTATAGTGCATATTTATAACACCGACACACACACCAGCCTCCACACAAAATACACAGCAACACCACCACACGCGGCAAAGACAAAGTACCACACACACATACGATACGCCACGCACGCACGAGGCACGCACGCACACACACACACACAATATATTGATATATATATATATAATATACATACATAAATATATTAGATAGTCATGCGGATATACTATATGTTATGGGTAAATGATATATATGACATGGTATGGGCTTAGCACGAGCAATGTGGTAGGGAGGACTTGATACTAGCAAGCCAGTGCGTGTGCCAGCGAGCTTAACCCACTGACTACATTTTACGTCATAGACTACTGTTATTCATTATCGTCTCGTCGAATCAGTCTAGTCGTTGGGTGTTGCCATATTATATATACAACCACTGTGTTTGTATATATCTATGGCGTTTTTGTAATGTTTACGCCCAGCGCAGCTAGCGAGAAGTGAAACTGAGATCGTGCCATGTTTCCAGGGAGATTTTTCCCAAAGATTTTTGCTAAATATGGTTTTTTAAACATTAAACCCAATATAATAACAAAAAGCCAAAGCTTGTTTAGAATCGAACCTTGAGTGCGGTTAGGAACATAAAGCACGGAAAAATGTCAGCCGGATTCGTGCACGGCCTATAACGTTATGGCAAGGCACCACAAACAGAACGACACCCCACTCAAATAGCCCTCCTCACCCCCTATAGATATAAGTAACTGTACAGGATTGAGCTGTATTTCGGCAGTTTTATCATAGCGGATCTGTGCTATACGTGTTCGCGCGGGACTCTTGGCACTGGTGCGCCGCTAGGTGGCGCATGCCGCAGCAGCTTGAAGGCAAAACCTGAGCAGCTGTGTGCGAGCTGAGGCTGCTACTCCCGCCGTACAGATTAGCCGGTAAACAGCGTCGCGGCCGGTCGTTTCTCCCGGTGGCGGCGCTGTCTGGTTCCTTTGGAACTCTTGTCTTTCCACCAATAACGACGGGTCAGATTCCTGCTCAACAGACAAAACATCCACGCCCCGTAACGACCATAGAACTACGAATTAAGAGGCTAGATAGAAGGCCTAGAATAGAGGCCTAAGAATAGAAGCCTAGAGAAGAGGCTTAGAATAGAGGATAAGAATACGGCAGGCTAGGAATCGAGCAGGCCTAGAAGAGGCCAGAATTGAGCCCTCTATTTAGTTCTATGGTAACGATGGCTCTCTGCCCTGTCATGGCCGCGAATCGTGTACGCCGTCGGCTCTCGGGCTATCTGGCCGTACATCGAACCCAACACCAACGAAAAACGCAGGTGTCCTAGCGTATATTGTTCGATGATATTTGCCGGAGAGGCCGCACGACATTCAGCGCCGCGCATTTGCATTAGCACCTAGCACGCTGTTTCGAGTTTGCGTTTCTTCATAGATGGCGCCATCATCCCGGCCGACATTGGTGCGGGAAGACGTCGGCGCGTCAACATTTGATGAGATTCATATTTGATCGCATCGCCGTGTTTCTCACTTGTTTATGGTCTTGCCACCCGCTCTCCGCGTGGTCCGCATCTGGGTGCGTATGTACGTGGTGTGAGTGGTGCCTTAGTAGAACATGCGAGCATGTGTTGTTCATGTCATGCGTGCCCGTAACGGTGCGTGGGGTAAGAGTAAACGAGAGAGTCAAGGGAGGGAGAGAGGGAGAGAGATATAATAATATATATATGTATATATATATATATATTATATAGAGAGAGAGAGAGAGGAGAGAGAGAGAGAGAGAGAAGGGAGAGGAGAGAGGAGAGAGAGAAAGAGAGCGCGAGAGCGCGAAAAGAGAGGAAAGAGAGACGAGAGGAGAAGGAGAGAGACGAGAGAAGAGAGAGAGAGAGAGTTACCATGTTACAGGTAGTCATGATCAGGTCGTACGATAGAGAGTTGGCCGGGTTCTTTGCAGTAAGTAGCCTATCCAGCGAATGACGTTCTGGTGTGGTGTGCTTAGACTTAATATATGGGTCCATCTCTCCCTTGCTACTTTTTGAACGCAGCCGGTTCGCTGCGCGAGAAAGCTGAGAAAGACACGAGGAATGACTAAGTAGCAGTCATCACAGTGAGGACAACATTAGCAGTATGTC